TTATGTTTTGGAGATGTTTCCGACGGTGATCATTTATGCAAAAATTACTTGACAAATTTCTTAGGTACTTTTGGCTGTACTTTAATGTCGTGATAAGATCGGCACATTTATACAGGTACGAAAATTTTTTAATTCTTTTTTTAAAATACTAGGGGTCACTGAATTGTTAGTTTTTCCATTTATAGCTTTTACTTAATAACAATATCACTTGATCGCTACTATTTAATACAGAACTTTAAGATATATAACGCTTTGTAAATTATTCTAATTAATTAAAATTTTGAAAAAAATGAAAACAATTCTTGTACAAATTCATTAATAATCGAAAAAATGATTTTTTAAGACATTAATGTCCATAATATATGTTATACATAAAAGAAATTAAAAGTTTTCCTAATTAAATAACTTTGTGTTGTTAGACGCTCACTCGTTCTAACTTTCGTTTGGTCAACGAATGCTCGTTATCACTTCCGAAATTCTCGTTGTAGACGAGACTTTGTAAATGCAGATACTGTTAGTAGTAACGCCTTCAAATGTTACTCTCACTAATAATACTTGTTCAAATAGTAATCGCCAAATAGTAATTCGTATAATGATCATTATAGAGAAATAGTATAGTGGATAGTATAGAGAATAGCGATCACTTAGACACTAATTCTCATATATATGTTTCTTTTACGATCACTTGATATATTTATTTAATAATGGAATCGTCCGTGTTTGTTCACTGGTGATCTGTGTTCAAACTACGGTCTCGGCAACACCGCTTTATTCATATACAACAAATAATATCTTAGTTTCATTGCATTTTTTATTACAAAATTCAGCGCAGATTTTCTGTACCTTGGTGTCCTGTCTTACAGAAAAAATAAATTATATTGTCCAAGGACTTCTGCTTATAACTAATATAAACATTAGGTCTTAAAAATGAATTTCTCGAAATTTCATAAAATTAAATAAGTTGTGGGTAACAAATGAAAAAAATATTATTGTTGTGGATTCCGGGTTGAAATCCGGTACCAATAAATAACAAACGCTAAGAATTAATATAGGAAAATAATGTATTAACATAATAATACAAACTGGTAATGCAGGTTGGTAGTTCCAGGAATACGGGTTAGTAGCAAAATATATATACAGTCTTTGGTATTGAAATATCGCTGTATGACTTCTTACTGAGTCTACGTGCTCGCTCACTGTGACTCCTACAACGCTGTTACCTTACCCTCACTCTTCCGGTTACCTACAACCTTTTACTCTGTCACTCTGGACTCGACTCTCTCGTCGGGTATTCACTGGCAGTAGCATAAGTATATACTGGGTGAGTCCATTTGTATAAAAAGGGGAGGACCCCTCAACACTATTTTTACCAAGATTTTTTAAGAGAAAAATTTATAAAATAATCGCTTTAATTTTTTAATAAGTACTGAAAATATCATTGAAATCCGACAATTATTTAATTTTTGCAAGAATTTCCAAATCAATGTGTTTATCACAACAAAAAAAGCTAACATTTCTTGTATTAATTTGTTTTCCCGCTGATGCAAGAAAAAAATAACCAAAAATTTGAATGTTCTAAAAAGGATTAAATAATCATTTAATAATGAAAAAATCCTTTGATTTTTTTTCCTATTAAAAACATAAACAATTATTAAGTTTAGGGCTTTTTCCATCATTCATGTTCATTTTTCGCAACTCATGGGGGATGCCTTAAATATATTTTTTCACTTTCTGTCAGCAAAAAACGTTAGCAAAAGAAACTTAGACTCTATATAATGCTAAAACTCTAAACTTGTATGTACGGATGTTTCATCTGGAAATATAGCTTTAACAATACATAATACCCCAACCAATTTCGAAGATTATTGAATCCTGAACTCCGTTGATTACGGCATTTGAAATGGGAAAATCAGTATTTGTTTTCGATAGACATTCTTATATCACTCCGTCTATATAAACAAACACTTGCATGATATATTCCAGCTATTGTGTGTGTGAAAAATAATAAAATTTCATCATACATTATAAAAACATTATTAAATAACTTGAAATATACATAACATAACATATATTTATACAATTCACTACACACGATTAGAAATTTTTTATAATGAAGTATCTCAGTTGTTTTGGCAAATACTTGAGAGATTCTATATGGGTGTGTCATTATGAAACGTAATCTGTATGGCTGGAAAATTGCGTCAAATGAATTGATGGTAAATAAATAAATGCACGTTGGTTTGCAGCCGTGACGTACTTTGAAATAATTGTGCGGAAGAAACAAGTATGTATAATAAATACAGTGTAACCCGGATATAAGAGACCCGGATATAAGAGAAAGCCGGATATAAGAGACTTCTCCGGTCCCGACAACTCTCTTATATTCGGGTTACACTGTATATACATACACATACATATATATTTTAAGACATTTTTATGTTTATACATTCTTTTTATAGATACAAATATTTAAGTAAATGCTCTGTTTATAATAAACAGTATCAGACAACATTTACCGGCCTGAATGGCCGAGAAATTTTCACTTGTTTAAATTAATTGAAACAAAACGGAGGACGAATATTTTCTTAAAATAATTGTCGGACTTTGTTCATTTCATAATGTGTGAAACACACATATATATATACACACAAATACCTGCATGCATATATATATATATATATATATATATATATATATATATATATATATATATATTGTCATCCACCGACCGATTGTTTCGTTGTATCACAGGTCGTCAGTGTAGCTAGACATCCGGTTGCTTCAAGGCGGTATCGAAACCTGACTGATTCGGCAAAAGTAGTGGATTTTCCTCCTAAGCCATCGGTGCACGAATGAAAAAAAGCCGAATTTTTACGTACTTATTCTGTGAATAAACACGCCAATAACTGACAGTCTCAATTCGAGAAGAGCTTGTAATATATAAATAATTATTATCATGTTTATATCATCAGAGATTAGAATAAAAACATTTAACATCGCTACACAAAATCTTTCATGTTTCAATACTATAATTGTACTTCCTCAAGCGATGGTTAGTAACTGGTGATAAAATGATTTTCTTGGGAAATTTTAAAACAAATAATTACCTCTATTGCGAAAGTTAAATCAGGGTCACAAAAAGTCAGAATTAAATTGTAGATTTTTTCTCCATTTGCTGTTTCTCTTATATATATATATATATATATATATATATATATATATATATATATGTGTGTGTGTGTGTGTGTGTGTGTGTGTGTGTGTGTGTGTGTGTGTGTGTGTGAAAATATATAGAAAATAGGAAAGAACTCGTTAGGTAAATAATCCAAAGTTCTTTAGTATTTTTGTTATTGTTTTAAAAAAAACATTGCTCGATACAAAAATAGAGCCTAAATATTAATAAAAGAAATCAGACATCTCTATCTGAATATTTTTGGCATTTGAAGGAAATGAATAGGACACCAAAAGTAAAATGGAAAATTATAAACAAAACTAGAACTTGTAAAACTTGGGATGACCCATGCCCTTTATGCCTTCATGAAAAACTACACATTATCAAGTTTCTAAATAATAAAAATTTATTAAACAATAGACATGAGTTAACGTTTTTTGCCGACATCATCAAATTTTCGCATGGAATATTTAGCATAAAAAACAAACAAACAATTAAATAATAAATACAAATTTTAAACTCCATAGTCTAAATAAAAAGTTTAAAAGCCCTACCCAATAATAATAATAATAATAATAATAATAATAATAATAATAAACCTTTATGAAGTCGTCAAAAAAAACCCCCAAATGTTAGCGAATTATGACAGTTTTTTATATACAAATTCCCTTTCAGGAAAAAAAAAAATACATAAAAAAGAAATAAAGAAATAAATCTCCGTAGGTACTTAACCAAACTAGACGATGTCATCTTACAACCCAAATATACCCTGACTTGACCTCTTTAAATGTAACCTAGATATTGATACAAATTATTAACCCTTACGCCATTTTTTTTTAAATAATTGCTCTAGCCGTTACCATAGTAATTTTAATTTTAATAATAAATATGCTTATAAAAACGCGTAAATTTCAAGAATTAGTTATTCAAAAAAAAAAAAAATAATAATAATACTAATAATAATTTCGCTTGAAGATGGAGCAGAGCTTGGTACTTTAATTCAATTTAATTCAAATAATTATATTGAAGTTTTCGGCTATTGTTTTGAAGCATGAGAACTCTTAGGTAGCGATGGAATCATATTTTTTATTTTTATATATATATATATATATATATATATATATATATATATATATATATATATAAATGTATGTATGTGTGCGTGCGTGTGTGCGCGTGTGCGTGCGTGCGTGCGTGTGTGCGTGTATAGTGTTTGGTAAGAAAGTTAGCATTCCGATCATGAGACACATGATCGATTTGTGAAGTAGGTGAGTTCATCATAATACTGACTTGAGGTCATGCCTGACGCCTCCCAAACGCATGCGCACGGACTGATCGTGAGGTAACTGGGGAGACAAAACTGTTCGGAAGCTGTCGATTGTTATGCTAGTACGATGTCACAGGTCATCGTGAGAGAAATTTTCAGGGTAATGCTTTTGTTCAAAATGCTGATCCCGACAAATCAGGCGATCTGTCCTAGAAACTGAAATTAATGCCCGCAGAGCATAGCAGCAGTCGAAACCACGGACGGGGTCTGTACCAGAGCAGGCGTCTGCAACAGAAATTAGACTGACAACAAAGCATTCTTTCTTTCTTATTTGTTTCGGCCTACTCGGATGATTTTAGTCTTTTTTTTTTAAACAATTTTTTTCCCCCAGATACCAATTTGTTTTAATATATTTTTTATTTGTAAATTGCACTATCCGTTTTTTTACACCAGTCGATCTTTTTTTTTTTAATGACCGCTACACGTCGGTTTAACTAAAAATAGGAAGTACTAGAACTGTTAATTTAGTAGGCTACATTAAGAACCGATTTTACTTGTTGTTTAACCATTATAATGTGTTGTGTCCAGTTCAACAAATGTGTAGAAGAAAGAAAGGAAGAAAGAAAGGAAATAATAAATAGAGTGAATGAAAAGAAAGAAAATGAAAGAAAAATAAAAGAAAGAGAAAATAGTAAGGACAGTAGAGAAAAAAAAGAAAGAAAGAAAGAAAGAAGGAAAGAAAGAGAGAGAAAGAAAGAAAGAAAGAAAGAGAGAGCAAGAAAGAAAGAGAGAAAGAAAGAAAGAAAGAAAGAAAGAAAGAAAGAAAAAGAAAGAGGAGAAAAATGAAAAGATGAGGCCAAAAATAAACATTGTAAAAGAAAGAGAGAAGACAATTGTCAAGATTCTGAGGGGGAAAACGAATAGAGATGGAATTAAAATATAAAACAGGAAGAAAGTAGAAGAAATTAAAGAACGATCTGGAATAGAGAAAAAGAATAAACATTGGGTCTGAGAAAGAAAATAGTAATCATATTGGGAGAGAAGGAAAAAAAGGATATAGTAAAAATAGTGGAATAATAGAAAAGAAAGAAAGAATATCGTAAACCCAATGAGAAAAGAAAGAAAGAAAGAAAGAAAGGCATAAAGAAATAAAGAAAAAAAGATTAAATTAGTAAGAGAAGAAAGTACCAAGGTCTGAAAAAGAGAGGGAGGGAGGGGAAAACAAAAAGTTGTACTCAAACAAAAAATCCAAAAATAATAAAAGCGGGGAAGAAAGAAAGAAAGAAAGAAAGAGAGAGAAAGAAAGAAAGAGAGAAAGAAAGAAAGAAAGAAAGAAAGAGAGAGAGAGAGAAAGAAAGAAAGATTAAACTAGTAAGAGAAGAAAGTGCCAAGGTCTGAAAAATAGATGAAGGGAGGGGAAAACAATAAGTTGTACTCGAACAAAAAATCCAAAAATAATAAAAGCGGGGAAGAAAGAAAGAAAGAAAGAAAGAGAGAGAAAGAAAGAAAGAGAGAAAGAAAGAAAGAAAGAAAGAAAGAAAGAAAGAAAGAAAGAAAGAGAGAAAGAAAGAAAGAAAGAAAGATTAAACTAGTAAGAGAATAAAGTACCAAGGTCTGAAAAAAACAGAGGAAGGGAGGGAAAACATGAGTTGTACTCAAACAAAAATCCAAAAAATAATAAAAAGGGGAAGAAAGAAAGAAAAAAAGAAAGAGAGAGAAAGAAAGAAAGAGAGAAAGAAAGAAAGAAAGAAAGAAAGAAAGAAAGAAAGAGAGAAAGAAAGAAAGAAAGAAAGAAAGAAAGATTAAACTAGTAAGAGAATAAAGTACCAAGGTCTGAAAAACAGAGGAAGGGAGGGGAAAACATGAGTTGTACTCAAACAAAAAATCCAAAAATAATAAAAGCGGGGAAGAAAGAAAGAAAGAAAGAAAGAAAGAGAGAGAAAGAAAGAAAGAAAGAAAGAAAGAAAGAAAGAAAGAAAGAAAATGGTGAACATAGAGAGTAAAATAAATAAATGAAATAATAAACATAGAGGGTAAAAGAAAGACAATTTTAAACATAGTGAGGGGAAATAAAAACAAAGAAAGGCAAAATTATAAACAGAGTCGAAAGAAAGAAAGAAAGAAAGAAAAAAAGAAAGAAAGAAAAAAAGAAAGAAAGAAAGAAAGAAAGAAAGAAAAAAAAGAAAGAAAGAAAATATTTAACATATTGGGATAATGGAAGAAAAAAGAAAAGAAAAAGAAAGAAAGTATGCAAGCAAACAAGAAAATAAGTATAGTACTAGGCTTTCGGTTAAAGGTCCCTTACATTTTCCAAAACTGACTTCAAATGTTGCTCCTTACTCTTCTTCGTTGCCCTCTCTAAATCTTTCTGTCGTGGGCGTCATCCATCAACCTCCTCGAAGGTGATAAACCCTTGAACTTGGGGGTCAACCTACGTGCCTGACTTGAGACACAGTGCAAGCTTCCTACATTTGCAATGCAATCGTTTGTTCTCACCTTATTTTGAATAAAGTCAAGCGACTCGCGTAGTTTGAGAATTTCTTTTTATGAGATGCCAAAAGCCCTTAGGCGACTTGGCCACTTTTCAAGATGGATTAAAATGTACACCAGGATATTTTTGTAATTTCTCCGTCACCTCAAACGACGATAACATTTCACTCTTGTTCATTCAAATCCGTGTATCGAATTTGTTTGCCTTCTAAAAACGCAACTGCTCCATAAGCTACGCCGTTTAGACAGAATCATGGACTCCTAATAAGACGGGGGAAGCTCCAAGGAAAATAATGATATAATCCAAATGTTGACTTCGTACACAACCAACAATAAAACATTTAGAAGAAACTCCCATCACTAAGAGAAGGGCCAGAATATTGGACTTCAGAAGTCTGATTTCCAGAAAAAAGTCTGTTAAAGATTTTATGGAATTAAATCAGTGGTTCCCAAATATTTTTTCTCTGGGCAGCATTTTCGGAATGAAAATTTGCACGTTTTTTTACCAAGATTTACGTAATAAAAAGTACATTTGAAAATAAAATCAGAGAGAGGGTTAAAGCGAGATAACTGCGGATTCGAACATTATCATTGATAACTCTCTCCTCCAATTTGCGGACACTTGTCACCATATTCTTAATAATATAATGCAAAAAATATCGCAATGATAAAATCGGTCAATAAGTATTTATAACTATTTATACTGGGACTCATGCATGCAATTACAAGTAATCTATAATAATATTTAAAATTTTTCGGAACATATTTATTTTCGGCATATGAATTTTTTGAAACCGTTTCTAAATCTTTGATTGCCTTCCTATGATTCCAATTCATCTGCTACCCTCTTCCGCCGCACATATGAGACACACCACCCTAATTGTGCAACACTAATTTAAATTGGCGATAACCCACATCTGCTTGCGCAATCAATACCGAATGTTTCCTCTATAGAAACGGTCAATCTCACCATTACCATTGTTATAGGAATGCATTGAAAATGATTTTAATATAGGAAACCATTAAAAATGAATGGACTGCAGTATAGTCTAATTTCTGGAAAACAGTTTTAAGAGAGAGAATTTATAAACTTCAATCGACATTAATGTTACCAGTTCGGTCAATGAAGGTCAAAAGTTTCCTGTATAGAAACGGTGAATCTAACCATTGCCATTGCTATAGAAATCCATAGAAAATTATTTTAATATAGAAATCCATTAAAAATGAACTATAGTATAGTTTAATTTCTGAAAAAATAATCTGCTCATCATTTTTCTATGACAAAACTTTTGTGTTCATCTGAAAATCAAATTTGTTACGTGTGAAGTGAAAAATGCCCTCATTATGTACAAAACAATTATAAAATTTATCATGTCGTCATACTTGCAAACGTCCAGGGAGGGAACTAAGTTACTGTAATGTCTAAATATTTTTAAAAAGAAAAAAATATTTAAAACTATTAGTTAAAACCTAGATATTTAAAACTATCAACTGTAAAAATTTTACATCATTTGGCGTATTCATAGTTAATTTTATTTAGGGTTGGTTTCACTTTTTTGTCGTAAAAAATACAAGACGTTGATATCGAAAGTACTCGGAATAAAATGAATAGGCGTCAAAGTAATAATATTCTTTCTTCCTTTCTTAAGGATATTAAGTAACTTGTCCGTAATTATGAGAGGATCCCATTAAAAATAAGGAGACAAAACTTGCCTAAATTATTTAAAAAGACATGTCTTAAGGAAAATATGCTGTCAAAATATACGCAAATATATATATATATATATATATATATATATATATATATATATATATATATATATATATATATTCAGTCAAAAAAAGAAACAGATAAAAGATCTTTAATAATGTCTCCAAAAAACACAGTTGGACAGTTTTTATAGACATTATGTCCAGATAAGAAAATATTTGTACGAATGAAAAAGAGTTTAATCGCAGTACATTGACATTCGTCTTCAATAAAACTTATATATATATATATATATATATATATATATATATATATATAAGGTGTCGATAAAGTTCGTGTGCACTTTAAAAAATTATAACTTTATTTGTATTTGCGATATAAATAATTTATAAAAAGGATTAGAAAGTAAATTTATATTTTTTAAGGTTTTATTGAAATTTCATTTAAGTTTCCACATGTCCTTCATCATTAGCAATACAAAGGGTAATCCGATTTTGCAGTTCACGGAAAAAATATGCCAACGGATTTACAGCAATGCCTGGTATCACATTAGTTATTTTAGCTATCCTTAAAACTAGGTACATTAAACTTTATAACATTTTTTACAGATTATTTCTATCGCCAATACAAATAAAGTTATAAATTTTTTAAAGTGCATCCGAACTTTATGGAAACCCTGTATATATATATATATATATATATATATATATATATATGTTTTATGATATCATTATTTGAATATAAAATATATATTATTATTTCAATTCATATATATATATATATATATATATATATATATATATTCAGTTGTATGGATATATATATATATTCAGTTGTATGGATATATATATATATATTCAGTTGTATGGATATATATATATATATATATATATATATATATATATATATATTCAGATGTATGGATATTAGTTTGTGATCCTGCGTTTCACGCTTTTGTAATCATCAGACAAACTGGTTTGTATTTTTAAAAATGCATGTATTTATGCTTATTTGTGTTTGATTATGTTTGGTGGTGGGAAGAGGAATTTTCTTCTGTGTTTGCTTGGGATGACACGCACTCACACACACACAGGCACGCATACATAGAGGTGTACGCATTTTAGTTCACACCAACACACCCATATAAACAATTCAGGATTAGGCGCAGATACACATCCCTACGTTGGAGCATACATAGATACGCAATCGTAATTCTATTTCGGTGTTGAGACTATATGTAACGACCTGGTGATTGCGACTAGTATGCAACAGCCTGTCGCCTCTGGGTGTTGACGTCAATGTTCAATTTTATATTAACATACATTCTATCTGATATTGAGCCCTTTATCCCATAAATATAGCACACCGTAAAACTATATTTCTTATATATATATATATATATATATATATATATATATATATATATATATATATAGAAGTGAAATATAGTCAACACTTAAGGGCGACAGGCGACCCTAAGTGTTGACTTCTATGTTCACTTTTATATTTACACACGCTCTATGGAGCACTTTATCCCATAAATATAGCAGACCTTAAGACTATATTTCTTCATATATATATATATATATATATATATATATTTAAGTTATGAAGAACTTGGTAATCCGTATGGGTAATCCTAAAGAGAATGAAATCCTGAGAGCTCAATGTAAATCGAGAGCTAATATTTTAAAGAAAACAGACCACTTTTAAGGTACCATTATAATAATTTATTTCACCAGAGTCCTTTAAAGGACGCCGGATCATCAGATAGCACTTCCAAAAATGAAATGAAACAAAAAATGAAATTAAAATTGATGGGTAGTGTAAGTTTTTGTAATTTAACAGAGATTGTAAGAGGGATAGTTAAAGAGACATGGTAGTGTGCAGAGAGGGATTAATTATATATATATATATATATATATATATATATATATATATATAACAGCAAAATCGTCAAAATCGTGTGACAGCATAACTAACCATAGCAAAAAAGTTTTAATATCTAAAAATCCATTAAACTAATTGAGATTTCCAGACCTTCAGATAAAACCTTTAGCCCTCTTGACATCAATTTTCGCAAGAATCACTGAAAAACCTTTTGAGTTATTCAGCTAAAAATACAATAGGTTAAAATCGCAACGGGTTAGGTCCACTGTCTTCCGAACTGAGCAAAAAGATCGCACAGGCCTTCAGTATTGAAATTAACATTCATATTCTGGATTCCAACTTCAATGTCCATTCAAGTACCACTAAGAGAACGGTGAATAAGTTTAAAAAAGAGGGAACAGTAGAGAGGAAAACTGCATCAGGAGGTCCTAATAGGAAGGAGGAATCATCATTTCAACTTAGAGCCAAAGAGATAAATTAGAAAAGATCCAACTCAAGACATAAGATGTTTGGCACATGAAAAAAAGCAATGAAAAAAGACTTGAAAATGAAATCGTACGTGAAACCTGTGAAGCAACTCGCTACTCCAGGACAAAAATGTAGAAGGTTAGAGAGGGCGAAGGTCATCTTGAATAAGTTGGAAAATTATCCTGAACAATTTTTAAATAAAAATACCCTAAAATTAAGTTACAGTTGTACTGAAAACTTAGAAATAATTATTATATCTTATCTTATACACAAATAAAAAGAAAAATAGATCCTAAAATAAAAAGAGATGAAGATAAAGAAATATGTAACTGTAGCAATCCTCAAAACTGTTTTCTTAATAATAAATGCCATATTGAATCAATAATTTATCAATGCAGTATCTCATCTATTGAAGATCCAGCACACGGAATGAATTCAGAAGAAGGTGGAACCAATCTCAAACATCCTTTAATAATAATAAATACCGAAATCAAGCATC